CCTCCCACACACTACTAGTGTACACGTCCGCGACAACAAACTGCTAATTGGTACCATGCTAAAGAGAACACCAACAGACACACCCACAGGGTGGTTCGAAAAAAATAATTTCAATACCAAACACGTTGCGCTACGCTAGCTCGACACGTTGCTGGTGGCGTGACATGCCAGGCAAGCCCGGGCGAGCCACGAAAAAAAAAATAAAATACAAAAAGAGTCGCGCAACACGCCAACAATTGAGACACTCCTCCCCAGTTGATGAGAGCCGGCCAAGCGTCGGGGATACGCTGTACAATACCTCCCTCGCTGAAGATGCCGCGACCACCACCACGAAGACAAGGCGCGGTCCAAACACGGAGCACGCCTGCGGCTGCAGCGATCGAGCGAACCGAGGTCGGGCTGACATAACGCCTTCCTGCCGATGATTACGCTCGTTCCGCTTCCCTCCAAAACATAAAAAAAACATCACCAGACATCGCTGATATCATCGGCCAGAGGGCTACAAGCGTACGTTTGCCATTGGTGAGGAGGCAGAAAAAAGACAACACATGAGACAACACAACCACTGCGAAGAACGAACATCCACGTGGAGGAAAAAACATATCGCGTCGTCGTTTCTTAGTCCATCACCCATACAACCACCCTTGCTCTTGCTCCCCAAACTGGGAATGCACACCCTTCACTGCTGCTGCACACGAAAACATGTGCTTGCAAATAGCTGCACACCACAATGGAAGAACCAAACACAGAGGTATGAAGGGAAGACCCTTATGCGAAACTCATAACGGGTGGGATCGACATAGTGGCCGCAAGCAAAGTAGCCCTTCCATGAAACAAGTCTTCGATGAAAAGCCTGTTTACGCTGTCGTCGCTGACGACAAGAAGATGAGAAAAAAAGAAAAACCGAGGAGAGACCGGCGGATTGCTCCATGGCTGCACACAAGACCCAACAACACAGGCAGAAACCCAAAATCGACAGGAGCAGTTTTACCACTAGGGTCTGATCCTTCAAAACCCGGCGGCACTCGGCTTCGACTTCAGGGTCTACCAGTATGAAAAAAGGACAATATTCGTAGCTGGTTGTGTGGTGGATGCGATCAACTAAAGATCATGCCCATCCTCCTGCATGCCTGCGATAATGTGATTCCCAAAATCATGTATCCACTAGGCGATTTTTACCCATCGCCGCTTGTGTCCCCGGAGATGGGTTCTAACAAAGCACACAGAGGATAAGGGGCGACGCCGTTTGCTTCGCCAAGAGCACTCTGAGTGGAGGGGCACCGCCCCTTGCGAGCATGCGGCGGAGGCGTTCTTTACGAGAAACAAACCGCTTGGATCAGCCGCGGGTGGCATATATACCTGTACCCTGCCTTGCGAAGAGGGTTCTTAACCAGATTCGAGCAGAAAAAAAAAAAAAACATTAAGCTATATGCGTACGTACTGTATGTGTGTTGTGGGTGACGGCGGGGAGACTACGAGCCCATCACGTAGATTACGAGTACGATGATCGCGATGATGACAAGCACGATGATGATCATGCAGCACTGCCGTTTTCGAATCTTCTTCGAGGAGTCGATGGCGTGCGCGATGTCCGTGTTAGCATCCTTGACGTAGTCCGACGCAGATTTCACCTGGGTACGGTGTGGTACCAAAAACGAACACGCAAGAAAGATTATGGTCACAAAAAGAGCTGCTGATTGTGACAAAAGTCATCAGACGAGGCACGAAGAAAGCCTGAATCGCATTGTACCATCAGCACGTAGCTTTCGCAGGCAGCGAAGCAGGAAGTACCGTGCTCGCAGAATCGCATTGTACCATCAGCACGTAGCTTCCGTAGGCAGCGAAGCAGGAAGTACCGGGCTCGCATAATCGCAGCGTGGATGGTCCAAACCCCCCATATTTTTCTTTGTCCCGGTCGTTACATGTTCAGCAGGGGGTTTTCCCCTCGCGATCGACGCTACTGGTATATTCGTGGTTGTCTTTTCAATTAGTGGCTGTTGGAAGTAATGGTAGAAATTATCGCGAGAAACTGGTTGTTGGGAAAAATGATAGAGCTTCTCTTTGAAGCTTGGTATTATAACCGGTAAGCTGGGCACTAGGAGCGGTAGCAGCCGCCTTCAAAATACCGGTCTTGGCACAAGAAACGATAGAACCTCTCCTTGAAGGCGGGTAAAAGAAGCGGTAGGAAGTCGACAGATAGTCCGGCCGTTCCAAGAGCTAGCTAGGTATCTCACCTGGTACTCGATCTGGTCCAACATCTCCCCCTGGCGATCGACGAGTAGCGCAAGGTCCATGAACATCTTGTGGAGTTCCAGGATGGAGGCCTCCAATCTCCGCACGTCGTGGTACGTGTCCTTCACTTCCTCCAAAACTGACGACCCGACCAAGACAACACACGAGCAAAAAACACCCATACACACGAGAAGCAATCTCCGATTTCTAGCCGCACTGAGACTGATTGAACCATCCTCATTGGTCAGCAGATTAAGGACTTTCGACTGACAGCGGTGACGCTCGGGCGCTTGTGGCCACGTCCTTGTCTCTCTATGACCGTGCATCACTACCCGCATGAGCGGAGAAAGCGAGCACAGTACCAGACGCTCTATACACACGCGCACAATCATCACGGGCTCCCAGATCACGGCAAGCCTGTACAACCATGTTTCTGGTTTCGATAGGTACTGCGACTGACAATCATCTGTTAGCCCGTTAGCGCGGTCGATGCCAGCAATAAAACCACGCACACACGCGGCCGCCGACCCTGATCGGCCCCCAACAAGCGGCACAACTAGCTAAACTCACCGTGTGTCACCTCGACCGGGTCCCCTTGCTGCAAAATCGCCGCCTCCATCACTCTTTGAACTCCGTCCTGTTTATTGCGATACATGAAACGCAGATGAATACACACACAACTCCATGATAGACAGTTTGTTCGAGAATTAGCGCTCTATTTCCGACAGATGATAAATATGTCTCCCCTCGCTATCCCGTTCTCTCGTGTGCTCGAAAGTAATTTTTATCAAATGACGCCCAACTCATGCACCCATAATCGAACGTAGGTCTCATGAACTATGCAGGCATCATGCCAACATGATATACATGCATGAGGCGGGTAACACGTGGCAAAAAAAAGCCGATGTACCGCAACAAATATATATATATATATGTGGTAACGAAAAACCAACCCCAAACAACCGAAAAAATCCTCGCAGAGTGCCGCACAGCGGACCGTGAGCGGACCCACCTCCTGCTCGAAGACGGTCGTAAGTTCCTCTTCGGTGGCTGACGGTTTCACCGCGAGGATTTGTCGCTCCGCCTTCTTTTTCACCGACGTCTTGTACTTGTTCTGAGGCCGGACGAGAAGGAGGAGCGCGCCGTAGGTTGGGGGTCGTACGATACTTTCGACAACGTCTAGACCATCGACGAAGACAGCACAAGTCCTCCGGCCGCAACCCTCTCCCAAAGGATAAACCCTAACCTAGACTGCACTCCCTCGGTCCAAATCCCCCATATCTCTCGAGATTTTCTTTTCCCTTGGAAGGGCACGTCTTGGCGGACAGACAGCTGTCGCCGGCTAGCCCGTGGTCGCTCCTTGGCATACTGTAGCAGAGGATATCGGGACCACATAGTCTCGTCAGTTTCGTCTCGCAGGAGTGTGAGGTATTACAGCAGCGCCGGAATACCCAACACTCGTGTCACGTCCCACCTCCCCCTTCTTTGCCCACAGCAGCGACAACACCCCTGCCTCCCGACAAGCTTGTACAACAACAAAAAGCCTTGAAACAACTGCCGGTGGTCTTAGGCAAGGTCGACGACATTTCTGACGACATTAGTGGTGGCACCAGCAGCAACAAAGGAAACACCCCCAGTCTCCACTCTCTCCCTTGCCGCCGCCGCACCTGCCGATTTTGGTAGTCTTTCGCAAGGTCGACGAATTTTCTGGTCAGCGTGTTCTGCAGGTTTTCTCGGACTCGCACTTCCGACGGTTTCGCCCTGGACGGGTCCTTCTTCATGGCCTCCGTTTCCTCTCGCATCGCCTGCAGCAGGCCCTTCGCGTGCGCCACACGATTATTCGTGCTGCAAAGGCGGACCAACAGCGAGAAGACGGGGGCCAAACGATGGGAAACGGATGGGGGGGGGGGCTAGAACAAAAGGAGAAAATTTTCTTCCTTCCGTGTGGGAATATGCTCCCGCTATTGCATCGAGCTTGGATGGGGAAAGCAACCCACAACATCCTTTTCGTCCGCAAGCAAAACTCCCACCATTGCATCGGAGCCCTTTGTTCAGCCAAAAAGAAGAACAAAGTCACACACCCACACACACACGATTGGCCACGCAAACATACTCGAATCCGAGCCGGCCAACTGCTGAGCAAAATCGTGAAACCGACTCCACAACCATGGTCAAATGCACGCGAGCGATGCTTGTCCTGGACGGAAAAAATGAAAACTCGACAAGAAACTTTGCTGTCGGCAACAACGACAACAAATCATAGACGCGCGCAGTCAACAGCAACATGAGCCTTACTGATGAACGAAAGAGTAATGTCCAGAAAGGAAGCGCTAGTTGGCTGCTACTCAACAACCAACGTCCAATGTACGCAAAAAGAGACGGGTTCGTACGGCATCTATCTCATCTCTCAACGAAAACGTGCAAAAAGCGAGCCGTCTCTCTCACTTGGCGATGGTGGTGTTGATCTGGGACTTGGCATCAGCTTCCACCGTTGCGCTAGACGTTAAAGTCGCCTGCTGCGTCAACGTGTCCAGATCTGTGCACGCCTGCGGTAAGACGGGGAACAGAACGACAACGGTGAAGATGAGCATGAGAAATAAGATCAGACGACGGGGTCGAAGACAGGACACCTTAACTGCTCAAAAGACTGCTGTTTGGCGGAAGACATCAAGACCCCCAACGGTGCAAGATGGAAAATAGAAGAAACACAGAAAAAAGATAAAATAGGAATGCCTTTCGAGTTGTACGAAATACCACACCTTTTTGGCATCTTCAGAACGCACGCAAAAAAATCACTCTTTGTGACAATTTCATTAACCACGGACGCCTCTCTGTTTCCCGTTCGAACCATTGTCATGTGTGGGGGTTGGGTGGAACCTGCTGTGGCGTTCATACCTCGAAAACCTCGACCATCGAGTAATGGAGGCGTATGCCGCAAATCACGATAAACGCATCAGTGGCATCGACGATCGACCTCGTATTCGAGTCAATTACACATTCGATTGTTTGGTCCTCGCGTGATCCCAATTGGGTGGTGGTGGTGGTGGTGGTGGTGGAACAGCGGTCAATGCACCATGCAGCTACAGTAGTAGCAGATTAGAATCATCCAGAGACCGATCACTTGCTCGCAAGAGACGGAGGAGTTATTTATTTTATTGCCATCCCATTGATTGTTTTTCTGGGCGTCGTCGGTCCTCATGCCTTTTCGGTACAATTCTGGACGCACCAGCCGGGGCCACACAGGAGGAAGGAGGTTACGATGTATAGCTGCAATGTAACATCGAACACAGGAACCCTTTGCAGGGCATTGGCCCGACGGAGGGCGTTCTGAATGTCATCATGCAACAAATGTAAGGGCACATCGGGAACCACTCTACCAATATAACTGCTCTCTAACACAGTCGTGCAGACATTGTGTGTGCTGTAAAGGTGGACGCACTTGTACCCAGGTACTGCTGTACGTGTACAAACATGCAATTGCACCTTGTACCCATACCACGCCGTGTTCCTGTGATGTTTACATGTTTACAACTTTACAACGGCAAGATTCAAGCGGACCAAAAGGCAGTGATAGCTTGCGGGTCTGCTGTACCCTCCCCGCGCCGGCCCAACAAGCCTTATTATTGCCATGCTCTCCAACGGTTTGTTAGGAGTGAAATTGAGACGGACGACACAAGCCGATTCCCGGAAACTGGGGAACCTCGATAACTCGCCGGGGAAAGTTCTGGGGAATGATGAGGGAGCGGCACGGAGATTTATCCGTCTTCGAGACAGCAGGGGTTGAAATGCTAAAATTGTTCCGAATGCCCTCTGTCGGCACCGACGTTCGTTTCGAGCTCGCCCATGAGCGTGTACTGCTGTAAATAGTTTGGCCTTGTGTACCCCAATCGTGCACATACCATATCGAAACGTAGTGCAGAGAGTCGGCCGTCGTATACAGCAGCTGTAATTGGCCGCAACACCGAAACACAGAGTGAAAACAGGAGACCGCAGTATTGCACGGCAGGCACCGCGGGTCACCGAGAGCTCGCCCGCACGTGGCTTTCAGGAAAACAAGTATCGGACGGAAAACGGCGCAGAGGGGTTGCCGATTGAATGCATCTGTTGTGGTGGGCGTAATCCGTAACGCTCGCTCACCTTCTTGACGGCGTCAATGTCCTTCTTGACTGCGTTAACCTTGTCGAAGAACCCTTCCATGAACCCTGCGCCGCCGCCGCCGCCGCCGCCGCCGCCATCCCCGTTATCATTGATGTCGATTGCGATCTCAAAGGGTGCAACACTTGAACCGCCTCCACCCCCACCCGTGAGCTCGCCTAGCCTGTCGTTCATCTTCTCCCAGCAAAGATGCCCACGGTTAACAACGCAGCGTGCGGATGTGCGTCGAGAGCCCTGTTCCAACGGGGAGTTACAGCTCCAGCTTGTGCCGCCTCACCGCTAGCCAGGCACAAGACACTTGCTGCACAGACGAGGGTGAACGGTTGCCTTCTCTCCCTCCCCGTCCGCTTTGCAGTGGTGGCTCGTGATCGCAGCGACAACCCGCTGCTGCTGGCTCCCTGCCGCCTGCTGTGCCTACTTCTGCTTGCTGTGATGGAGAGAGCACGCGACGGTGGTGGGGGGGGGGCAAGGGGGCATTCGACAGGGTTTCCGTGTGGAGAGGCTTTCTCTTCGCATGTAACGGCCTACAGAACTCACGCGCAAGCAGCCGGATTTTACTCCTTCCGCCGATCCTTGAACAGGGGTGGGCGGCGAGGAGGCGAAGCAAGCGAACTGCAGCCCAAGCGTGATACCGGGGAGTGCGTCGGCTGAATGAACCCTTCTGATGATACAGAAACGAGTTGTAGCACGAGCTCGAGTAGTTCTGGCCCTGGTTCTCGGCCCGAAAGGGTCGCTGTTGGGGCTTCACCAGGGAGCGAAGTATGGAGCCCGGCGGCGGTTGAACACGCCAGAAGTGGAGCTCCTTCCCCTTCGTGCGCTGGGGGGAGGGGTGGTGGCGGCGAGTGGTGGCTCAACGATGCTCGTGCGTTTGAGAGGTGCGGAAGTGTGTCGTGTAGTCTCTCTCTACCTTACTTGGGGTAGGGATCTCGTCGACGCTGGGACTGATCAACAGGGGCGATTTGAACATTTGAACGGCATGAAGCTCAGCACTGCAGTTGTGCGCACGTGCCCTCTGGCATCACGGGGCGTACTGGGTTGCGTCAAAACCGCGCATGGCTGCGTATACCTGCCCGTGCTCAGCTTACAGCTTCAAAGCTGGTTGGTGTCCCGTGCTATACAATTCTACTGTAGGTCGGGAAAAGGTACTGTTTATTATTTCATGTGCAGCAAAGAGTACCGTACAGCAGAGTACAGTCGGAGACCGGTGCTCTTGGGACTACTGTGCATAGCTGCCAACGATTACGCGCGTGGCTGGTACAAAACGCAAGAGATAAAGATGCCGTGTTCGTGGTGAAATAGGGGAATTGTTGCTGGTGGTGGTGGTGGTAGGGCGCCTAGTGCCATACCACGTTCTTACCGGCCCAACTGGCGCAGGCCCAACATAATACATTGCGAGTTCAGAGAATAAATTGGCATCAGTGAGAATGATGTACAGGTGGGAGGCTCAACAACTGTGCCTTCTCTTCAAGCCTACAACACCTCACGTCGAGAAGTTTAAAGGAAAAACTACGGGACATTGGGTCAATGCTGTACGCAGCCTCGAGGCGTTGCTGCAGCACCCACGTTCGCTACAGCAGTACACAGAGCAAATAGCGTCGATAGCGAACGCTTTCGCACACGAAAAGGCTCGTGGCCTGGCAGAAACAGAACTCACATTGGCAGTCTAGGTTAAACAAAGGAGCATAATGTTTTCTCCTCTCCTTGCCTCCTCTTGCTCTTGTCGATTGTCACAGCCAAGGTAAGGCACCACACGACACAGCCACCTACGACGATGACGACGATACCACTCGAGTAACTGTCACGTCTCCTGCTCGGCGTCGAACGGAGGCGTCGTCCACCACAGCTCGGAATCGCAGAGGAGGCGAAGATAAGCCGACTTACGGCAGCAATTCACCTCGCCAGCGACCGTTGTCTGCGCCGCCGAAGGTTTACCAGTATCCCTTTTCTCGACAATCGGAGCTTGGAAAGGAAGAGGCTTCTACCGGAAGGTTGCGATCAAGGGAAACGATCGGTGGACAGACAGGTACAACCGACGGTAGTGCCGAGGTGCTTGAGCCGGACGGCTGCAAGACCGTTAGGGGCCGCGATGGGAAGGGAGATCCCGGAAGGGATGCAAATTTAACATCTCAGCAGCGACTGAGCTTGTCGTCAATCTTCGGGTCGGCGTCAGAGAGGCGGACGAGCGAGAACAAGCAATCCGACGCTCGATCCTCGATGTTGGTGAGCGAGAATGAGGGGGCCGTGAAGCGTGGAATAGCCAGATCTGCTTTTCTGGAAGGGAGAAACGAGGGGGGAGATGGGAGCAACGCTGGTGCTTCGTTGTCGCCTCAAACCTACGGGCTTCATCGATGGAAGGAGTACGCGGTGCTGAGGTGAGGGAGAGGTCCAACCACGTCGAGTGTCGAGTTTTTTCGGGAACATTTCAACTTGACCGATTGACGCTGCCTGCTAAATTATCTCGAAGATAAACTTGAGGTAGTGGCTTCGAGCTTCTTCTACCTTGTTTCCATTACATATCAAACGCGGCATTCAAGTAACTGAGGGCTGGCTGGAACATGAGCTAATCACCATTCGCAAATACAGCACGAGTTCAACACCCATCACTGTCCAATACGGGGTTTGTTGGGCGGCGCTTGCTTAGGAAGTTTGGTGTTGAGATAGAGTTACACTCAGACTTCCGACCGTGCAAAAACGACGAAAGCAATACGTACGTGTGCTATTTCCTGCTGTGAGACGTGACAAATCAAGTAAGTTATGCCGCTTTGGGGTCGTTGATCTAATTGTTTAACAACGCGGCTGCGTTCCACCACCAGTCTGCCAGCATTTCCCACGAAGTCTGATCGTGTCGAGACACCTGTTAGTTGTGACCCATGGTTTTTGCGGCTTGCAGCGAGCCTCGTGCTTGAAAGATAGCCTGTAGGTATGATCTGGGTGATGTAAGTCACCAAATTCTCAGCAGGCAAGGCAAGAAACAAACGGCTGGTACGATCTTCAGGGACTGCCACGTGACGTGCGGATATCCTCATCTCTATTTTAGAACCAATTTTCCCCGCGGGTGACACCGGCCATGGCTCCTGCTTGTGTGCTCGCCCACTTTGTACGATAGGCACGGGGGGAATAAGCGGTTCGTCAACAGCCAGCATGGTCGCGAAATTCTCGTCGAAACAGCCTCGACGATTCGCACCAAAGAGGTGAGAGAGGGGAATACCCAAGTACAGCCAGGGGCCTCATATTGCGCTTAGGGCAAGGATACGGATGAGGCAGAGGGGCACACGGTTCCCGTTAGAGCTTCACCGCTTTCCGCAAGCCCGCGTCGGGTTCACTTCATTATCACCATCTCGATGCACTAGAACGGAGCCAACACTGATCACTGTGGTCTCTTGCGAACCCGGGTTCTCCTCGAAAAGGGAAAACCGTTCGCCCATATTTCCGACACATACCTCGTTCAAGATGACTCACGCGTTTGCCAGGATGCGGACTGACCTCGCTTGGAATATTTGTAGGTGCCGCAGTGGTGGGATCCGTGTGGCTCCTGCAAGGATCGAACTTTGAGTGTCAACGGTATTGCCTAATACCTTGGGCAGGCTGCATGGGATACATCCGACCTCGTTCAAACTTCCGTGATTAGCAACGTCCGCGCCTCTTTAAACCTACAGCCCTACGTGTTTGCTTCGTTCTCATAAGGTGGCGGATCTGAACCGCGAACTCAAAGAAATGAGGGCTTTGGTGCAAGAATTGCACAGCGCGTTGCATGCCGAGCAGGTCGAGAAGTCAAACCTACAGGTGGGTAGAGAGGGGGGAGGTCATATGGCATGATGCGACGCGATACGATTTGATAGGATATGCTACGACAGGATACCTTGTCGGACATACCATCCCCCTTGTTCGTCTGCATCCCTGGGCAACCCAACCCGGCCCAACGCGGCCCGACCTGACCTAGCCCCAAGGCGTGTAACCATCTTGCTTAGCTTCCTCCCAAACCCACCAGGAGGACATGACGTTCTCCTCTACCTATGCTACTCGATTTCTGCGCTCGGTTATAGCCTCGTTCCCGGCGTGCCTGGCAATTGTTGTGTGGATAGCAATGCTCGTCGTGCGGTTCCCTCTGTCCTTATTGTTTCCCTTCTTGGTCTTACGATTCTCACTGCCATACATGTTTGGGTTTCCCCGAGACATGACCACCACCAAACGCTTCCTCGGCCCAATCGCAAAATACCAATTCAAGCCCGGTTGCAAATGGCTCAACGTGCCACATCAAGAAAATTCAGATCTAACAACTCGAACAGCACCTCGCCACGAGGTGTTTCCTGGTATATTATGGGAGTTTATGGTGTTTTCGATGTCATGTATAATCCTCACCCAGCGCTACAGAGCTGGTTGCCAGCCGCCTCATGGCTTCGACGTAAGTTGTACACCCCTCGCTTGTTCTTCGACATCTCGAACCAGCCAACTCTTCTCGTTTGCTGACTCGCGCACGAAGTACTGCATTCTGGCGACGGTCGCCACAGCAGCACCCACTGCCAGTAGGCTTGTTCCTTGTGTTTTTAGGCTGCACTCGAACAGCAGAATATCGAACCAAGGGCCGACCGCGAGGAGGTTTTCAAGGCGGTATACAATTACCTCCCTAGGGTCAAGATCGACAATCTCGAACTAACTGCTCAGCCTGGAGAGCTGATGGGAGAATCATGATCCCACCAAGTCGTCTTGAAAGATATTACAAGTGTTTGAAGATTCGACCATCCACTCGATCCTGCGGCAGGCCAAAATCGTGCTTCTGGAGAGAGAGGTTGAAGGGATGGACTTTGCTCGAAGGTAAGAGTGTTTCGAGCATGTGTCTTATCAAGTCGCCGTTGTCGCCGTTGTAGGTTCATTCTCGTAGGCAAGCTCGAGCGACATGCATACCGCCTCAAAGTCGTCCATGTCGTTCGCTCTTTTAGTGTGTAACAACGGCTATGGTGATGCTCGTGAAACTGAACACAACCCCTGGCTGTTGCTGAATGTAATTTGTATTTTGGGCTTTGAAGTTGCAAATGAATGACCAGAACCTTCGTTCAGATAGAGAGCAAAGAGGTGGGTACACCCAAACTCCTGTCATCAACAACACTGCCTCGGTATTCGAAAGTCTGCAGGCTTACCACCTGAGGAACAACCCCTCAATTTCGTCATTGAATTGAAGGGCAAACATCTTTATCTTGAATCATGATCAGGAGACCGATTCTCGGAACCACGTGTGTTTCACATCGGTAAGACGAAGCCTTGTCACATCTTCTTTCTCTGTTGACCCTCGGTCAATTTTGAAAAACAGGCGTTGGTTGAGGGAGAATGCGAGCAACCGTGGCCGTGGGTCCAACCTGGAAAGACGGCTAGCGGGAAACACGGGAAACCTGCGGACGTTTTTGTTCGGAGCTGACGCAAAGCCGGAGGCGACCAGGGTGTGTGTGCGTGATTCATTCGTTTGCTTCGACCAATGAAAGACCCGTGTTTATGTGTGTTTTGTGCGTTTTGCTAAAGTAGAATCGGCCTAACTAACTGGCAGACCATTGAATAGACGTCGGTATCAGGGGGTAGCAATCAAGGTCTCCGGAAGGGGGCCAAAGCTCTAAGAAAGTATGTCGCCCACTTGTTGCACATCTCTACAAACACATGGCAACAACACGCCAACGCTTCTCGCAAACCCTCGCCCGAACCTAAGGAGCAACCGGTGCACCTAGTGGAGCACGCCACAAGGCCATTTCCGGCCCCGAAGAAGCCAGTATTTCGTGAATTTATGTGTATTCTAAAACAGAGAATGGCGTACTCCACAAGAGAAACGCGTGTCGCACCATCAATCATGAACATCAATTTTACACATTTCGGTCACGTTTTCCGGAAAAATCAGCCGGGGTAAAGCCCCACAAGTTTCTTATTGTCTCCATCTTGCTCCTGCAGTGCCGAATGTTACTTTCAGTCCGAAAGCTTGTCTCGGCGTAGGGGGGTTGCTACCGGAGGGAACCTGCCCCCACAGTTGTCTAGATGGAGCCCCGCGTTTGCTTGTGGCCGGTTGGCCATCAAACATGCCATCTGATGCGCACTGCTGTCGGTAGCGGCCCCCATGAAGAGAGTGGTTCGAATCCGGGTGCGGCTAGTCCTACACCCCATCCCACCGAGTGATCCCCCCCTAGCCGGTTGTGTGTTGCGTTGGGTACGCCTTCCGTAGAGCGACGGCCGTTCAAGACAACACCGGAACCCAAAAAGAAATATACCAGAACTAGGCGCAAAACCCGAGGCGTCACCAAGTTGTTCCTTTTTTCTAGGAAAGTGAAACGAAACCTTCGCCTCCTTGGTGCACGCCCCTGATCGGCATCGTTGTCAAACCAAGCAATTGGCAACCAGAGACGCTTCCGAAGCACCTGGAACTTTTAGGCCATCGGCCACATGCAGTGGGTCGCCGGTGGCCTCGTCCCGCGCGCACAGCGGTGTAGGTGGCGCCGCCACAACTGCCTCGGAGATGTCTACGGGCGAGGAAGGGGACAGGGATATGGCGGCCATCGGTGGCACAACGGCGGAACGAAATGCCGTGCGGCGGTGAGGACGGAGGGAAGAATTATCGCGTGGAACATGTGTGTTGAGGTTTCGTCCGAAGCAAAAGCTTGTTGAACGCACGTGCCTTGGAAGTTCCGCAGTCGAGAGATTGCTCCCAGAAGGAACCTGCCGCTTTGTCTGATAACTCGCCCTGCTTCCGAGCGCATTTAGCGTACGTCACCCGTGAGGCACGCTGGTGAACATAAGAATGGTGTGGGGGTGTTTGGTAAGACTTCCCTCTCTTTGGAAAGCTGAACTTGCCCTGGTCTAGATCGTGACAGGATCCTCTCGCAGAGTCTTCGTCTGCAACCACCCTCGTGTCTAGATATTGTACAAGGTGTAGGTACCACCCAATCATTGCACGCTTCGCGAATGCCGACCAATCAGAGCGCGTGAGACGGCGGAGCTTGAGAGAAGCGAACTACGCCGGAGGCACGACGTTGAGGTGGGTAAAAGCCAGCCTCGGATCTGTCGGTGTTCGGGTTAGTGTTGTTTTTCGAGGAACAATCGCGTTGGTTTGTCGCTGCTGCTAGTACGGTCCGTCAAGGGTCTGTTATGGCTTCTAGATCACCCGGAGTTCCTCTCGGCCTCATCCTTGCTGGTGCCACAGATGACCGCGAAACAATCTCGGATCGAGAGGCTCAAGCTCGAGGTACGCAGGCTGGAGGCAGAGAGGGACGGCCTCAAACAGGTAACCTAGTGTCTATTTCTTCCGTCTAGGCATAATAATGCGGGAGCTATTTTGACTCCGTCGCCCCTCGCCCGTTACCATTTTAACTCGAGTGCAACGTTGAACACAACGGAGCATATCGTTGTTATGCTATCGGTTTCAAATTTTGGTCTGGGAATGGTGATAGCATTCCACAAGACCAACACAAGTATCCCGAGCAATGTCTTCGGTGATACGGTGAACTCCGACGGGATGTGCGATCTAAGCTTCCTGTGTCATTGTGCGAAATAGCGAAGTGAGGCTGGGGATTCAGGTACTCTAGCGTGCACTTGCTTCTCTGGCAAGGAGTTTGATGAAAGGTGACGTTCCTATATACGGCAGACAGTACCTGAGGATCCAGTCGCCGATCACATGACGCGCACTATTATAGTGTATCTGGAAATCCATCTCCGCCCCCGTTTGTGCTTCCTGATTTAGGCGGCGGAGACCCAGGTAGGGCTGTTCAAGGATGGCTACGCCGAGTTAAAGACTTGTCTTGAGGAAATGAAGGCACACGGGCAATCGCCGCCACCAGACACCTCGCGCAGTCCGGCAGACTCGTGTTCCGAAGAGGTGGGTCATGCATCGAATCACAGCTTTCCCGATGAGCCCCCTCACGAAGCAAACTCTTGTCGATCGACCGGCCGTGCGTATTGCCGATGTCGATTAGCTATCTGCCGCGCCCTTTTTCCTGGACGAGCAACGTTTAAAACGATCTTCTCATGTGACGACCCAAGGCGAGTCGCTCGGTTGCCCCGTGTTCATTTTTCCCTGATCTGCCCTATCACATCGAAATTCTCGACTCCACCAGCAGGCAAGGCCCGGTGGTGACGGCCGGGGGACGATCAAATCTGCCGAGGGAAGAGAGCGTTGGATGCAGACTATGCTAGCGACCGAGGAGGGGCTTAATTGCCAGGTACGGAATGTCTGTCTTATGTGCGGGACGCGTGATTACGGGATATGCCTTGGATGCTGCACAGCACTTTTGCAACGGCAGTACCTGTCGGGACCACGGCAATATAACGCCAGCTGTACACTACGGTTGCGCCGCCATGCCTTTCGTACTTCGTCCGGACCAAATTCTTGGGTTTAATTCGAAACAAGCAGGTGCGGATGCTCCAGGGCCTCCTGCTGGAAGCGGTCTCAGCGGCGACCCCGACCGTCGTCATGCCTGCAGCGGTCACACAGGCCGTCGACTCCATCCGTCAAGGCCTAGGGCTACCTCCGCTGGTTCACTCCCCGGAACGGGCCGCCCCTGCTCTTCGCGGCATGCCGTTTTCCTCTTCATCCCGCTATCCCACCGCCGCCGCCGCCGCTACCGTAGCCGTAGCGGAGTCAATGCACAGCAGTAGTGATCTTGAGACAGCGGGCTGTGGTCCGCATCGCGAAAGCGGCGTCGAGAGGCACTTCCGTCAAGGCCCGAGGGTCGAGTCCCCGACCCAGTACGGACCGTCTGAAAGAGGGCAACAATCCCGTCACTACCACCACCAGATCCATGGCGATCGCCGCCCGCCTGGGCTAACAGCAACACCCGACGCGACCTCGGTTTCGTCGACGGCGGAGAGCACCACAACCGACAAGCGTCTTGAGGTAGATGCCACGGGTGGCACCAGCAGTCAGGGCAAGGTCGCCGGTAGGGACATCCGCCCCAACGACGTCGACGACGACGACAACAGCAGCTGTACGGGCTCCGAAGGGAGCGGTACCCTTTGGGTGCGAGTGGCGCCGACAGACGAAAGCTCTTCTGTGGAAGAAGACTTGAACTCCCCGTCCTCGCAGGCGAGCTACCGACACCACGGCATCGGGCCCGGTGCTTCTAGGTGGAGGGGGCGGGACGACATCCTCGAGCGATACCTCGGTGGCGGGAGGGGTGGGGTGCCAAATGAGAACCCCGAGCCCGAAGGTCAGCCTGAAGGCAATCAACCAAGCCATGAGTGGCCTTCGTCCCCTCGTGCGCGGTCTGCTGCTGGTCCAGGCAACGGCAGAAGAAGTCGCTGGCAAACGCCAGAGAGAGGTAGCATTAGAAATAGTGATACCGACCGGCCGCATTCTGGCCCAGGGGAAGAGACGCTCATCCGAAACCTCCCCGACGAAAGTGGGGCAGGGGCGGAGAGGGGAAACAGGCGCAGGAGAATGTTGGGTGCCAAGCTGGCTGCATCTGGAGGCGCCATGTCGGTGGGTAGCTTAGAGGGTATGAGGACCACCAACCCCTCCGATACTCGGCCGTGCGTGCTAGATGTCGTGGAGCACGATGGGTCTCTGAGTGGAGATGGAAAATGCACAAGAAACGCGAGTAGCGAGGGTTGGGGTCGTCGGGATAAACTCCCCGCGGGGGTGCAGAAAGCGATTTCGAACGAGTTCGACGGCCACCGGTGATGGGCTCGAAGCTCTTTCTTGGACAAACGGAAATACGAAGCTTGTGTGCCAGAAGCGTGTGGACATGTACCGGGAATGTGGCCTTCCTGAGAACGACAACCCTTCCGAGTTTGACGTACTTGTCAAGGTTGACGATCTCGACGTTGGGCGTAGAAAGCCTTCAACATCGCACCACAACCAAAAACCATCCCTTTCCCCTGTCCCTTAGAGAGTAGCGCCAATACATACAGAGGCGCCACCTGGCCGTCGTAGGTTCGAAGGATAGGAGGCGAGAAATATCGAAATAAGTTTATTTAACGAAAGCTTTTAATCCGAGGCGCGGTGTACGTTTACGACTCACTCGAAAGGACGGAGGGTGTTTTGCCTTCGCTTGGCTACGCGTGTTGTTCTATTCTCCCGCGAGGGTTTGCGCATGTGAAGTATTTTTCCTTTGTGTTGGTGCATGTTCAGCGAATTACAGTAGTGTTGAAAATGAAAATGGTAGTGACGTGTTCGTTTCACCAGACCGCTTGTCCATCGTCCCCCTCGGCCAGCGCACGGAAGTAGAAAGGCAACACCTACCCTACATTTTGTCCACGAGTTGGAAGTAAAAACAATTGGTGGTTCGATTTTCACGAAAATTGTATAAACTGAACCTCACCCGCACAGAATGCTGTATGTTCTCCGTTGGTTTCCTCACGGATATCACAGAAAGTGCCAGGATTTACTCAGAACAAGCGTTTCTACAGCGGCGACCTGTTCTGCGCAGTTGTTCTTTTTTTTCTTTTCGCCGATGGTCTCATTAATAGACTTCGCTTCTCTACCCAACATCATAACATCACCAACAACGACGATGACAACGACGACACGAACGACAGCAACAGCGGTCGGTCTAGCTCCAGAAACATAGGTTCTCTCGTCGCCGCAGAACGAAACAGCGGACAGGCAGATCGAAACGTGGTCGAACTGCCAAGGCCATGTCGTCGGAAAACGACTGTAGTATGCATAGCGCATTGCAAAAACCAACTGATTCTTCTCGAGCGATGGGACGATTCTCGCTCGTAAACGCCCGACAGACTGTTCTGTTCCCCTTGACTCTCTCTGAACAGGCTCAGAGTCAGCTAGGACATCACATGTCTTACACTACTCACGACTAGAAACAGGAAAACGAAATTAGTATCTTTTATCCAAACAACAGGAGAATACCATGGTCAGGTAACTCGTGATACCGCGCCCTACAATCTTGCCCTGGCACCAGCAACGCCGGGGTGGGGGGGGTCGCAGCACTTTCTATAGACTAATGCACGCGGGTGGCAATACTGTAGGTATTCTGCTACCGCCGGGGGGGGGATGGATAGAGTCCCCCGGTTTGTTTGAAATTGACGGGTCGTTCAATTGTTTTGCCAACACGTCGATTAACCCCGACGTGACATCGGGGCGATAACTACTCAAGCATATGTAATGTGGCTTTCGTGTCAATCTACCCTCCTTTCTTTGGCCGGGCGCCTGCTTGAGACCGCCCCGGCTTCTTCTGGCTGAATCGCACACACCAACCGGCTTCCAAACACATCACAGAGGTACGAGATCTATCTAAGGTCATCCAAGTACCTAACAAAAAACTGCTGAGCGATTGATTTGCGCCATACCCTAGCTATTCCTATGCCATTGGGTCGATTTTTTCGCTCTTCGGACACTGGAGCAGCGCCGCCTTCGCCACCAACGGGGCCGGAAGCCAGTTGTACTTCATCCGAACTTCCCCTTCGTCCCTAACGTCCTCCCTAGCAGAGGGCGATATAGACCTCTGTTGTCGACAATGATGGCCACCGGTAGCGATAGTGTTCGCGGTTATGGTGCCAGGTCGAGGGGGCGGGCCTAGTCTCTCTGCGGGTGGGCGGGGTTTCGCGATCCCGACTGGAACACCCGCCCAGGCGTTTCTGTCGCCCGTTAGTGTTAGGCGGTCGCGCTCAGACGCCGGGGGCAGGAGGACCTTGAACGTGCGGACGCCTGTAGCGTGCACGTGGTTTGGGTGAAGCTTCGGTGTGATAGGGAAAGCATGGAAGAGGCGTGCTGTGGAGGAGGGTAAGGGGGCGAGCTCCGTAATTAACAGCTGAACACTTCTCATGATGTTTTTCTTTCCTTAACAATTGAGTCTTACTCTTAACCCACCGTAGCGTCCGGATAACGACACCTTGCGATTTCCACTCAAAACCCTGATACAACACAGCTGTTGTGCATCCCACATTAGAACAGAAGAAGCACGTAAGTGACGTGATTCGGTCGGGTATATCGGAGGAGCGCTCAGACCCTGCAGTCAGCGTGGAAGGTGCCAAACGTTCTTGGCCTCAACTTGTATGGTGTGTCCCAGCTCGCACAAGTATGTTTAGCACTACTGACAGTCGAGGCAGCTCCTCCGACCAACCCAAAGCGGCTGAACCCAAGCATCGAAAGGGCATATATTCCGCATGCGAAATATCTGCTATGTCGACTTTTCCGGAAAGAGCGACGTCGCCAATATTTCCTACACCTGAAAATCTGTGACCGCAACGGTTCTATTCCAGTGTTCGTTCGAACCATTCTACGAGGCCTCGCCGTAGTTACCTGAAGTCGATCCGCGAGGGGGTGCCCAGATATGATCGTGCATGCTTGGCGGGTTTTCCACGTCGTAACGAGGCCTCCATCCCGTGTGAGCGAACTCTTCACGTCCCCACACTCGCCTCTTGACCTGGGGAATTTGGCGGTACATGTAATCGGGATATTTTGCTCGTGGGACGAGAATTTTCAGGTATCGTTGACGCCGGCGGACGATGAGGGGCAGCTTAGATATAACGGGTAAAGGACTTTCAGTACTTGCCAAACCGATTAAGCAAATAGTCGTTTGCGTTTGTGGATGGTTTCAGCAACTTTCTACTTGGGTCACCGACAGTATCTCCCTGTTTCCCGTCCTTTTTTCGTGTTTTCGTCTACTGTAGAGTGCTAGACCGAACTGAGGCGTGGTGCCTTAGATCACAGATTGTGTGGTGGTCTCTCGACCGGGTGCCAGGTTACGGCTTGTGTGGGAAGCACTACAGGTCTCGGATCCGTCGAAAAACCAAACCGCCTACTCTCCGACGTGTACACGAGACGAGACCCCACGTACGAAACGGAGATGTCAGCCGCTTCATTTCGGCCACATCTGACGTCGGCGGGGTGTACCAGCGAGGCCCTACAGACGTACGACTGTAGTCTGTTCGACACCAGGTGCTTCAATGAGAACGAAAAAGGCGGCGTAACTCTCCGTCCCTGTCCAATATACTGAGAGCACCTCCCGCGCCTCCGGCCGACACACCCGTTTCTAGTTCTCCCACGGCCAAACTGCCTGTTTTGCCACAGCCGTCATGCCATACCTGTTCGCTGTTGCGCCCTCCAGCCCCCCGCGTCGCAGCAAGCGCGTCTAAATACCGCTGGAACTCCCTCCTTCGACGGGCTCTGTCTTCGAGCCATTTGAGATAGGCCGCCAGTCGTTTCCTTGCCCTGAAAAAGAAACGAGGTCAACGGCAGCATCATCACCACGCGATCGGTTGAAGAGGCGAGCATCACAGGACAAGGATGTCGTGATCTTGAAACAGGGAGTCAGGGGAGGAGAGCGTTACGTAAGCTTGCTTTTGCTGTTCCACGCATCAATATTTTCAATCGCTCGCAGTGTACCTTGAACCGCCTTGGTTGTTTTACGGACAAGTCATGACCGTTGAACAGACAAAACCTCTGTGAGATGCGTACCTTCGACTTGTCTGCGAGTAGGGTTTACGATTGTTGTGCTCTTTCTTCCTTCAACGGTGAAGTCGAACACGTGTGTGCACAAGCGCGCGCTTCCTTAACTGTGCCAAAGCGTGAAATTAAACCCACGACCTCAAACCATCAAATGCTTCACGATTCAATGGTATGGGTTAAGATGAAATAGTTGTGCGTGCATGCCCTACATAAACTCGTATTCGTTTCCGCCTCACGTCTCGTATGGACATCGAGTACTGTCATTCGTTCATCGTGTTCTGGTTGTGTCAGAGAATGCAGATGTCACGCAATTTGGATAACGACCTAGAGTGGCACAGAAGGGCATAATGCTGAAGGCGGACTTGGGTCAATGAGACTAAACGCCAACGCCGGGAACTTGAGAATCACCCCACCTACTTGTAGAGGTATTTCGATAAATGTAAAAGCTTCCAAGCCATGCCGCACAAGCGGCGCCGTCGAAGCAGCAAGTAGCAACAACCAACCGTTTCGGCTTGCTCTCCCCGAACAAACGCTCCCTCACGTCGTGTTGGCGTCTTACCGATATCCCCGCCAAACTCTTTGCAGGTCAAGTATGGCTCTCGGCTGCAAAAAAAACTTCACCGCCCAATCGAGGATCCTGTGGTGAAGAAAACGATAACATACGTGGCGAACCGTTGATGTCCGTTGACTAATGACTTACTACGTGGTCGTGCTCTTTCATGGAAAACCTTACGCTAACGACGTAGAAACCTAGGACGAATTTTTCAAACAGCGACTGTCTATTATCGTCCGTGGCGTGCAGAGTGCAGGCGAGCCAAGGCATTTCAAGTCGGTACAAGTGGAGCAAGGGGAAATACGGGTCTAGGACATAAAAAATGGGTCGATTAGGGTCGTGGTACGGGTCAGAGAGACCACGGCACGAGTCTGTGGATGTGGCCCAGCACGAGATTGAGGGAAATACGGTCGAGATCGAACCAGGTGCAGAAATATCGAAAGGAAACATGGTGGCGTGTGCGGGACACGATACGCGTCAAATGAGACACGACACGGGTCGACTGCCGCGCAGTCCCTTTGACGGTCGCCGTCATCCGCATTATAGCTCTCGAACAACTCGCCTCGAAGCAAATTTCCTGAATCCCGTAGGTGTGCCGAAATTTTGAGTTTCACTGGGAAAGGACTAGCGGTGTTGGTACCTTAAACCCCAGATGGAATGCTATTGATTTCCTCCTTGCGTGGATATCCTAGGGGTTTGACGCGCAATACCCACCAGTTGGTACCGACACTCATTGCCCTTGCCTACGGGCACCATAGCGTGGCTATCCCAGCTTTCTCGCTAGGGTCGCAACGATTTCGGCTTACGAACACCCCCTGCGATAATTTTGCCCAAGCACATGTCCGTATCGTTTCTACAGCATGTGGCATCGGACGGTTCGTGCTAGCATGACGGCTGACTCCCTTCGGCATCGTGACGTCTCACCTTTTCCCTTCCTCTCTGCACGCCTCCTTGTACCTCTGCCTCGCGTCGGCCTCCCGCCGCCTCCGCTGGAGGCGCAGCTGCTCTCCCATTTTCAAAGCCTCGAGGGCGATCGATCGCCTTCGGGCAATCACCCGGCGTGCCCGCTTTATCCGGAATATCCCTTGAATTCGCCTGTTGTTCAATGCGTTTGCTGGTCGTCTCAAGGGGGCTCGGTACTCATTGATGGGTCTGACTGCCACGACAAAGTTACTTCAGCCTCTTTGCAACTGCACGTGCGCGTGTCCAAACGTTCCTGGACGTTTTTTGCGGACAAAAACAACCACGAAGCTTGTAGACCTACCTCGCCGCCCGGAAGACCACGGTGTCCTCAAGGCGAGAGCCTTCAACTACACCGCCCCGCACGCCCCGCACGCCTCGCACTATCATCCGGACGTGGCGCCAGAGGAGAACACTTCTACGGGGTCCCTCCTCGCCGTAGCTGGTCTCGGTCAAGCTCAGGGAGGTCAAGTCAGAAGACGCCTGGCGTTCAGAGGTGGAGCCGCCAATGAGCGTATATTTATGAACGCCACATGGTGTTGTTGTTGTTGTTACCACCATTGTTGCTGCTGCTGTGGCGATTGCTTTTCAGTATTCTCATTCTAGTCCGAGCCTTACAAAGACGCAGACGGTTTGAGTCCCAACCGCGGCCAGCGTCCATCAACTACAGTAATCAGAGTGCTTCTCACAGGGTAGTGCTTCACCGAGGGTGTTTATATTCTTCGTACGAATGACTGGTGGAAGGCAGAGACTTGCAATAGGTACATCAAAGGCCGCTGGTTAACGTTGCTGAACGGCAGATTCTCATTGGGCCCAAGCAAGTCCGGCGACACCGTTTCGAGGCAAGGAAGAACGGCTGCATCAAGCCTGACGACTGTAGCTTATCGGAGCCGAGGTATGACATCACAGGTCGAAAGGATATTTTTTTCGCATTAGGAGAAAGGCAGTCAAAAGCCAATCACATCTCGCCGCGCACGTTTCGGAACTGTTCGTCCCAACCCTGGTATTGAGGCACGTGCCAGGCAATGCACCCTCTCGGTTCTCTGAATGAACCGCTCGGATTAGAGGCACTGCAGAAATACCCCAAGGAGCACTCACGTCTAAGGTGCCCTCATCCAGCAGCAGGCTCGAAGCTCCCAGAGACTTGAATATATTCTTGCCTGCAGACGATAACACCCTCAGTCCACCGGACAGAAAAGACATGCCGCTTCGTTGACTGCTTTGGCTCTGCATGTGAACAACGGCCAGACATGAGTATCGTTTTTCTATCAGGGTTTCGGGGGCTTCAAACGCGTCACGAGAAGTCTCTAGACCTCTTTGATCGATCGATCCGATTTCTAGGGAAAAGAGAAGAAAAACGCATACACCATGAGAATCATAGGCAATCCGTCCATTAACTCTCATGAATTGCCGCACGGACGACAATGTGTTTGCTTGTGAAAAGCAGCCCATCGGGGCGTTCTACTCCACCTCACGATGAGCTTTTTTCTCCAGCTCTTGCAACAAGAGGGGTCGGAAACAACACATTGTTCAGAGGCTTTCCTGATTTCCTCTTGATTGGCAGAGTTTGTTAGCGCAACTACTGGAATACTGCGGATGGTCACCCGTGCACCATGCGGACTCCTGTAGATTCTCTTGGAGTGAACATTCCATCACGATTTCATCACACCTCCACCGCTTCCCCTACCTGGTCATCCCCCACTCCTTTGTCACCACCCCTTCGCCTGCCCCAACCTAGGGATCGCGTGGAGGATAGCATTCCCCTAAGCCCACCGGCGTTTTTTTCCTCTGGCGGCAACTTCGCCACAGGTGTCTTGTCCCTGTCTTTCTTCTGCATCATGTGCGGGCAAATGACGCCGTGAGGCCACGATTCGAACAGCAAAGTTCAGGCAAGAAGAAGAAACGTGAAAGCATCCCAAAGGGATCACCACTTCAATGTACCCCGTACTTTCCCTTTCGGCCCCGTTAGGATTTCACCCTTGGCAGGAGAGAGGGAGTGAATCCGTGCTGCGAAAGACTTCAAGAGCTGGCATCCTCATTTCATCATACTTTGCAAAGCACAGAGGTGGCGTTGAGTACTACTACACGGCATGAAACTTCTTCGTACTCGTCCCTGCACCCTAACCTACTCTTACTCGTTCTCTCGGCGGCGAGTGTTGTCCTCTGTTGTTGTTTTCGCGGCTTTCTCGGTCGATTGCGAAAACGGAGTCGTCACTCGTAGAACCGTCATCATCATCACATGCCGCGATCTGAGGTGTATTTTAACGAGCAGGCATTGGTACTATTGTATTGCGCAAGCACACTCGGAATAACATTTTGCTGTTGGTTTTAGACCCAACGTAGCTTGAAGAACCTAGGCTGCATTCAAGAACGAAGATTCCTAACGTGGATCATTTCATTCCACGCGGGTGCTTGTACGGCAGAACAGCTCCATCCGCTGGTTGGTTCTGTCGATCTGATAGGTGTTATGATGTTATGATAGGTTGCCTGACAGAAAGGCTTCTCTTCTCGACCACTCAATCAGCGTCAGCTGAGCAACGGGTGGCAATTTGTCAACCTGGCCGGAACTCCGTAGCAAGAAAGGGGGCATTCAATAGGTGGCGTATGGTGTCGTTGCACTCCTTTATTGAATCGTGTCTGGGTACCGTAGAGTACGGGCGGCAAGTTATTGTTTCGCAGAATGATTGAAAGAAAGTAATGAGAAAGAAATATTTGTGACCCGAAGCACGCCGTGCGCATAACCTGCCGAGAACACTGACGGCAACATTCTTCCACGCCTTGTTCAGTATACGCCGTCAGCCTACCGTGTCTCTCAAGCGCTGGGGGCAAAGTGTGCGGGAGGAATCAACCTTGATGCTAGGGGTTTCAACAGCCTCGAATCCCACCTGTGCTTCGATGGCACCCACTCCGCAGCAGCGCATGCTGTCAGGAAGGTGCAGTGTGTCGGCCAAAGTACCGAAAGTCAACGACACTCCCCTCAACGTTTTTCTCGCAAACTTGTCCATAGTCTCGACCGAGCGTGGAGCGTCCGGTACCGCCAAAACGTTGGCAAATTATGTACCTGCAACGTTCAAGATAAGAAGCGTGCCCGCAGTGGAGAGAACCATACACGCGGTAGAGAAAATTTTGCGAGGTCAGGGCCCGCTTTTTTTGCCAATGCCAAGCTATTATGTTGCTCGCGGCCGCCCTACTCAGACAGTCCAGAGATATGGGAGCGTTCCTTGAAGTCCGCGAACATTTCTGCGAATTCTGCTGGAGAACGGAGGCTTTATGGAGTGTGTTATCGTCCGTACAGCGAAGATCCGGTCACATTCCGACAAAAAACACTTTAAAGAACTTACTTGTCGAACGCGCCTTTTCGTCAGATGCACAACGAGCGGCCGTATATGGCCGCACGCCGCCGCATGGAAGTGGCTACCAAGTGAACGGATTCACGACACTTGAAAGGGCAAACTTACCTGAGTATCTGGACTTGAATATGCCCACGCGTCACGCCAATTTCTCCAAGATGGACACTACACGAACGCCCCGTCGCTCGTTCCACAGAAAATGCACGTCAGACATCATACTTCGTGCGTCGTCAGATCTACATGCACAGAAGTTGGGCCAGAAGTCGGATCCTGTCGTGCTCTGAAACCGCCAATAAACATGCGTCTTTTCAAAATTCGGGGATATTTTGTTTTCGTCCCCCCCCCATCCTTCGCGGGTTTTGCATGTGCTGCTGTCGGTCACGCTCCTACCACGCATAATTGCATCTCTCTACTGGTCCTCTGTCTCTTCTCTCCCTCCTTTGGCGGCATACATTCGAGCGAACAGCGGACAAGCACAGGTGTGGTCGAGTTCCGTGTCTATGATTATTCATCGTGGTATTGTAGGTGCCTCGCGAATCTCTCGCCCAACCTGCTACACAGCAGCAGCAACCCCATGATCATGAGGGGGGAGACCCGCTATCTGCTATAGCACGCACGGGATGACGCTGCCGCCGGAGAAGTATGGCCTTCTACAGTTGGTGGTTGAACAGGACTGGCAGCTCTGTTGGAGACGAAGCATGTCCTTGTTGCAGTGAAGCGACTCGCATGAAACATTCGACCCGCTTTTCATGCACCCTGCCGGCACTCCATGACGCTTACGCGTGTTTCCGCCTCCGGTACTGCGCGGCGGCACACGGCAGGCGTAGACAGGCAGCGCGCAAGGATGCCGGGCAACAAGAAGAAGAACAAGGGCGCCAACAAGGCCAAGAACGCGCCTGCTAGGAGCAATGCCGCTAACAAGGATGACCTGGCCGGGCTTGACGAGATCTTGAGGTGAGGCAAGGCTCGAGGAGCGGGGAGGCAAACACGCAAACCATCACCCCCCGAGCGAAAAGCAAAAGAGCATGCATCCTTCAACACAACTATGTACAGCGGTCGCACCCACTGAGATTCCCCGATGCGCATGTGACTCTCTCCACATGTGCCACGGTGCACTCTCTTCGCATGATGCCGAGGGAATGATATCAAGGCGTTGACTAGATGCCGCCCTTGGTGCATGCGACTCGCGCGCTCGAACCATCAGCTCGTTGGAAAGCAGTACAAGTAGGCCTGGTCTGCATCTGCTTGATGTGTGCGGACGTGCAGACAAAACCGGCTCTTGTATCATACGCTGGTTCACATTTATACGCATTTCAATAGGGGTGGCGACTACTCTGGTCTCCTACTGTAGTGGCCGAAAGGATGTCCCTTTCTAAACGTACTCCCCTCTATTGCATTGGCGGAATGATCGTCTCCGTAGCTCTGCTTTACATGCACTGCTGTGTACCAGTTCTTTATCGTACACATACACTATGGTGTTGTGGGTGCGTCCATCCCTTGGTTGAAGTCTGTGCTCCGGCTGTGGTGAACGTGCCGACCCAATCAAGGTTGACTGCTTACATCAGTTTTGTTCTAGTCATACAAATGTCTCTCATGCTTGGTTGAGCATTAAGCAGCATGGTGTTTTGCGATTGCCATGGGCTGCTGTAGAATAAACTACATACCATGTAATATACTGCTGTCGGGTACTCAGCAGTACTACGCAGCTAGACAGCAGTGTGTACGGCAGGAGCACCACCACCAGAAGCATGCCGGGGGCTCCGTACACCAGGCGTTGCGGCAGCATACCAGGACACAGCAGTACATCCTACCTGTTCTTTACGTGAACGGTATCAAGTTTCAATCCTGTGCCAAGAGGTGCATTCTCAATCCGCTTCGTAGGTGCTCGCCCCCGTAGGTTCGGCGTTTTCTTGGGCAGGCCTCTTTCAATCGCAACCCTTACCGCCGGCCCTTGGTGTGCTGTTTCTCCAGGCGGCTCCGCACTCGAAGTGTCCCCGTTCAAACCCCGTGGCATCCCTGATGGTGCTTTGTAGGCTTCGACAACTCCCAAAACCATGTTGATCCCTCAGCGTCCTATATAGATCAATCAATAACCAGGTGTGGAGCGCCGCTTCAGTGCGGCATATTGGCCGCAGCCGTATCTTCTGCCAGAAGCCTGTGGCGGGCACCAAACGCTTGTTGCGTCCACTTGCGTCCACTTGAGGCCCTCCTGTCATTTCGCTGCTAGCAATTTCTCAGCAAGAGTCATGAAGGGGTCGAGATGGAACGGTCCACGGTTCGTTCCTTTTTAAGCACGTGCGATACGACGCGCATCCTGGCGACAAAACGATTACATCGGTGTTGAGTTGGGGAGAGGGAGGTGGGCATCGTCATCGCCTCTCACAGCATCCACAACTCATCATTTGTGCATTTTATCACTCTCCGAGTTATGTCTGAGAGCATCTGAGAGCATGGGATGATGAACAAGGCAGCAGCAGTGGACACCGAGAAACTTGGAAGCAGTTTCAGACTTGGAGCTGGCAGGCAGCTTTTACGTTTTAGGAGCTGATTTCGACCGCTGAATCCATGAATCCGCTTCGCGCCACGTCTTCTTGTGTCATTTGTGTAGGCCCGGTGGACAACCTCGCTTGAAGAACAGTTGCCGGCGGTCGCAGAAGAAAATCAACCTACGAAACTCACGTGCATAGCGGCAACGATTGAGGGCGACAGAATAACTGGTTTGCCGTCCGTCATTGGAGGCGGTCAGATGTCGGGTCGAAACGACCGGCAGAAGAACACGACGGCGTTTTCATCGTTTTTGCCAAGCGGACCGCTCCGGTTGAAGCTACAATACCTGCCTGGGCAAACTACAAGTCTTTCTATGCTTACTCACACCGTCGACTTTTTCTTCTCTTGTCAACACGTCATCACGTCATCCCTGACGGAGAAAACAGCGGTGCGGCTCTGCAGCGTTGCGAGACTGGGGTAATATTGACGTTGCCTCCCGCTCTCGACTGCAGCTCCTTACCCCCTCCTCTATCCTCCCGCCTGCTGTGCCGCCTGCTCTGATCTCAGTAACCCGGAGCAAATGGCGGAGGCGCAGCGAGAGGCGGTGGAAGCGAGCGGCTTCAAGCCGCGCTCGGGCAAGCAGAACGCTCAGATCGGCCTCAAGGGTTTCACCCAGGTGATTTAATTTACAGGAGGCGTTCGTTGGTTGTGATTACACGTTTCCGACCACCACCCTGTCCGATTTTTGTTTATTCCGCGTCAAGGCTTGGTGACGTCTGTGAAGGCATACGCAATGCGCTAGCACCTAAGAACCTCTTGTTTCGCACGGGGTTCGGTTCTCGTCTCCTCTGCCAGGTAGGTTCAGCCAACAGCGAATATTATACTGGTAGGTTTCAGTGCAGGGTTCTTAACGGAGGTCCTGGTTAAACTCCAGAACATACGTTCTGGTGTTTTTCAGTCTGAATTACTGATCTCCAAGTTTGTTAGGTGGTAGGGCGTACTGTGAGAGCATGCACAGGGGATTACGTTCTTTTGTGACGATCTGTTGACAGCAGCTATCCACATACATGGGTCGTACATTGACGATGAGCCGATTCGGCCTACGTTGCTGTGCCCCGACTTAGCTTACCGGTGGAGTGCGAGGCGCGAAGCCTCGTTGATGGAATAGAGGCAGGTGTACCCCTCATGCTTGGTGGACTCTTGGTGTCCGAAAGACGTCGGGCATGGACGAGCGCCAGCAATCAAATTTCGTCCAATTTGTTTTTTACCGGTTAACTCCAAAGTAGGTTTAGATGCGCAAGGATACGTGCGCGTCACCTACCACGTTGGATTCGGTCACTTGCACAACAAATGCACATACACACGAAAATAAACGCGCCCACATTCGCTTCGATCTTGGGTGTTTTCGTCTTCGGTCCGGGCCTGCGTTGACGGCTCTATCATGGAGCCTCTGGAGAACTCGGTAGAATGTTTTTGGAAAGACTTTTTTCCCCCGTGTGTGCGCGTGTGCGTTTCGTTTTTCGTCTGCTTTCTATGTTGTGTCTGACGGTACATGACCACGAACTGCAGGTGGGGTCTCCGTTGTCAATTGCTTTACTTGGAGTCTTACAAACACGCAATACAAACTACCGGTACGTCATAACCAACACCAACAACAGGCGACCCAGAACCCGGCCATGTTCAAGGACGCGATGAGCATGCTCGGAGACCCCTCGGCCGTGAAGGAGGCGGAGGCGATGATGAACGACCCGGAGTTCAAGTCGGAGATAAACCAGTACATGGAGACGCTTAAGAACAACTCGGCCTTCCGCGATGCCATGGCCGAGGCCCAGCGAAAGTACCAGGTGGGTGGGTTGGTGACGGTTTTCTTTTGTTCATTGAGTGCGGGAGGGGTATCTTAGGGGCGATTTTGAGCAACCGATACGCCCTCCCGAAATCCACAGTTTGGTGGATACGCTCAAGTGAAATAATTAACATTTTGTTTGCACCACGTTTTTTCTTTGGGACGGGGGGGTTCACAAGCGACAACGGAGAGTCCTGCTGTCAGTGCGCAGTCGGGGAGAAGCCGGGTCTTGCCGGTTCCGAACCGGCAAGATGGTACGATCATACCATCAACCCGACAACAAGCATACCAAAACCGCACAATATGGAAACATGTACTTGTTGAATAATACCAACAACACTGATTCAGTAGTACCAGGCCCAACCTACAACAGCCACCCGCAAACAACTTCGATACGCCACCACCAGCAGCAACACGCTATGCACCACAACCACCGACACCTTTTTGCAACGGCAACTACCATGAATTGATTCGACAGGCTCTGTTGGCCGACCCCGAGAAGATGAAGCAGGCGACGGACAAGTACAACGCCTTGATGAAGCAGCAGCAGGACGCCGCAGCGGCGGGGACGCCGGCAGCAGCAGCAGCAGCGGGGGGTGGTGCGGGAGCGGCGGGGGCGGCAGGGGCGACGCAGGCAGGGAAGGAGGCGGCGGCGGGGGGGGAGGACGACGGCGAGCCGCCGGTGCCCGAAGCGGGAGCGGAAGAGGAGGAAGAGGAGCCCCCCGCGGGAAAGGTGAGTCTTGAATGCCTTCAGTACAGCGCCCTTTTGATTTTTGCTCTTTCGCTCTTTCATGTGTGTGTGAATACCCATAGTACGGTACCCTCTTTTTTTCGGCCTCTTTGTGTGTGTGTGGAGGTGAGAGTGTATGTGTAAACTACAGCAACCTTCTGTTTTTGGGTATGTGAAGGAGGGTGTGAATGCCCACAGTACAGCACCTTCTGTGTTTTGCTCTCTTGTATGTGTGTGTGGAAGGGTGGGTGTGAACGCCTTCAGTACCCTCTCTGTTTTTTGCTCCATTATTTTTGCGTATGTGTTTTTCACCGAAACGCCTTCATTCTGATGCATATGCACAAGGTTCTTTTTCAGGGGGTTAGTGTTTTGTCTCCCGGAAGCGGCACAACAGGGCATGGTCAATGACGTCACGGGTTGCAGTGCCAGGTGGGTGCGAGAATCGGTTGCGAAAGTCACTGCGCTGGTGGCACTTTTTTGCGCATTCCCTGCACTTGTGCAACATGTTCTGTGATGACATGGTAGTGTTCAAGCTGAATACTACCGTGT